CTGGAGTTTCCAGGAATTAGCTTCTTGCTAACTGTTTCATAAACTTAAACAATCTTTAAGCAAAATTTATGAATTTTTATTTAATATTATGTTATTTACATTTTAATAATGGAGATAATGATAGCAAAACATATTATTATTGCATTCCATATGCTTCTAATGTTTTCCAAAATTTAGCATTTGTTTTACAAAGTACTTTAACCTAAAAGGAAGTAAGAATTCTTACACTGTCATTTAACAGAAGCTGTTTTGCTTTTATTATTAATGTCCAAAGTTCACACTGTTTTGTAAAGGTAGGAATATAATGGAGGGCACAACTAATAGTCAAGTAAGAGTACAAATTATACTATTTGTATAAAATTCACCTCATAGTTTAAAAAATAATTGCAATGTTTATAAGTGCTTTATGCTTCCATGGTGCCTTTTGTCAAAAAATATCAGACTTTATAAAAGTCACAAAATTATTTGGTGCCTTTTGTCAAAAAATATCACTTTATAAAAGTCACCTGCTCTTTACATTCCAAAATTATCATATGCCCTATCCTCATTAATAAATGCTCTTAAATATGCTTCTGTAATTTGTATAAGTTATTTTCTCATTTAATTCCTCTTCTGATCAACAGCACCCATTTGCAGAGAACTGGCTGGGGTTAGTTTATGCTTGCAAATAAGATGTCTGTAATACCAACTTGCTTATAAAGACATTTAGCTAATGACTTTGGCATCATTTTGGTACTGGTGCTATTATAAAAATCTGATTTTATGGGATACTCTGAATGTTACCTGATGATAAGCAATACCCTATTAGAGAAGCAGCACTGTTGCTATCTTATGAAAAGAATAAAGCCTAACACAAATAAATACCAGAATTAGGAACAACTATCTATTTTCCAGTATAGTACAGCTCCTGTTGCCAGGAGTATAGAGGAATTTTGACAATATGCTGACATGCCTCTTTATCTTTTTTTTCACCCTGAGATGGAATCTTGCTCTGTCACCCAGGCTGGAGTGCAGTGGCGTAATCTCAACTCACTGCAACCTCTGCCTCTTGGGTTCAAGCAATTTTCCTGCCTCAGCCTCCTGAGTAGCTGGAATTACAAGCACGCGCCACCATGCCCGGCTAGTTTTTGTATTTTTAGTAGAGATGGGGTTTCTCCATGTTGGTCAGGCTGATCTCGAACTCTTGACCTCGTGATTCCACCCGCCTCAGCCTCCCAAAGTGCTAGAATTACAGGTGTGAGCCACCACGCCCAGCCAACATGCCTCTATCTACTCAGGGATCAGAGATATTTTTTTTTCTCTTATCCTTCTGGCATGTGCCTCTACATATGACAGGATCAGGGTTATTGAGTCTAGATTTCATGTGAGATGACACAAATTTAAAACCAAAAAGCTGCTCCAAAAGATGGTCCTATAGAGGCTTCATAGATTACATGTACAGACCACATGAGAGGGCGGAATGGAAAAAGTCAACTGTTGGCAGTTACCTTTGTCACTGGAATAAGGTGCATGAACATTATTGCTGGGCACAGACACATTCTGTTGGTGTGGCTGGTTCACAGTTTCTAAAAATGAAACCAGATTCTCATGATGTGAAAGTTCTTCTGCAACAGGGAAAGAAACAATGTTCCAATTCAACTGAGTATCTCCTTCTGTGAGTGCCCGGAAGAGAGAAGGGATTGGTTCATGCAGCTCCTCCACTGTGCTCTTTGAAGTTGGAGGTGTGTCACTATAATTTCGAGGATTACACATACCTGGGTCAGGGTAACATAAGATTTTGTTAGTTACTGCCTTGCAATCAGAGCTACAACACATTAAAATTATGTAACTTCTAGCATTACATGTAGATATTTTCCTAGCTTTGTTTTGTTTTGTTTTGGTTTTTTGCTGAGTGAGCCTAGATGATGGCATCCTACCCCAGTAGCTTCAAGAGTAATGGCATGATCTCGGCTCACTGCTACCTCTGCCTCCTGGGTTCAAGCAATTCTCCTGCCTCAGACTCCTAAATAGCTGGGACTACAGGCATGTGCCACCACACCAGGCTAATTTTGTATTTTTAGTAGAGACGGGGTTTCTTCATGTTGGTCAGGCTGGTCTCAAACTCCCAACCTCAGATGATCCACCTACTGTGGTTTCCCAAAGTGTTAGGATTATAGGTGTGAGCCACTGCACCCAGCCAGATCTTGTTTTCTAAATACCTGTTCTCCCCTAACACGAACCAGAGCTCCTTGGAGGAAAGACTGATTCCAAGGCTGGGTCAGGAAAGTGCAAAAGAAGCCAGGAACACATTATTTGTGCCACAAATTAAGGAAGTATACCATTAACGATGGGACATGCTGAAGAGACAGAGGAGGCCAACTGAAGGGGCTCCTACTGGCTAATAGACAGTTTGAGCATTAACATAAATGATAATAAGCTGAGCACAGTGGTTCGCGTCTTGTAATCCCAGCACTTTGAGAAGCCAAGGTGGGAGGATCACTTCAGCCCAGGCATTTGATACTAGCTTAGGCAACATAGCAAAATGTTGTCTCTACAAAAAATAAAGAACACTAGCCAGGCGTGGTAGTGAATGTCTATAGTCCCAGCTCCTTGGGAGGCTGAGACAGAATGATTTCTTGAGCCCAGGACATAAGGCTGCAGTAAGCTATCACTGCACCACTGCACTCCAGCCTGGGCAACCACATGTCAATCAATCAATCAATCAATTAATCAAAGTAAATTAATAAAAAAAATAAAAAGGAATGATATTCCTTACCAACTGATAAATGTAGAAGAAAGAAAGGAAACAGAAAATCACCATTTGGCACTATCAAAGAGGTTTGATTCAGATGGGAGTTGTCAATGGAGATTAAGTCTGGGGGGTGACTGATAAGAACATACTGATGGGTGCCGGTAGCGCTCACGCAAAAATGGTGAACGTTCCTAAAACCCGCCGGACTTTCTGTAACAAGTGTGGCAAGCACCAACCCCACAAAGTGACACAGTACAAGAAGGATAAGGATTCTCTGTATGCCCAGGGAAAGCGGCGTTATGACAGGAAGCAGAGTGGCTAACTAAGCCGATTTTCCGGAAAAAGGCTAAAACTACAAAGACTATTGTGCTGAGGCTTAAGTGCATTGAGCCCAACTGCAGATCTAAGAGAATGCTGGCTATTAAAAGATGCAAGCATTTTGAATTGGGAGGAGATAAGAAGAGAAAGGGCCAAGTGATCCAGTTCTAAGTGTCATCTTTTATGAAGACAATAAAATCTTGAGTTTAGGTTCAAAAAAAAGAACATACTGATGTATTCTTGGAAAACCCACCAAAAAATACTAATCACTTATAAAAGGTCATTAACAATGACTTTAATGTGTATAACTCTGGCAGGCACCAAGATGATCAGAAGATCAAGGTTAACATCACCAGCAATGGGACAAGTTGATGTTGTTTGTCACTTGATTTAAGGCACATAGTATCATTTCAGTAATGATGTTGCCAAGAATGTGTGACTTAAGTCTGGTCACAAGTACACATCAGGTACATCAAGGTTGAGGGAAACCTGTATAACGCAAGGTCTGTATTCTCTAAAACTGTCAAGAGAAAGACCAAAAGGCTGTTTCAGATTGAGTGAGTCTGAAGAAACATAACTACTAAATGTATCACATATTCCTAGATAGGATCCTGGGCCAGAAAGAAAGAAGAGGTACCATTGTCACAGCTGGCGACATTGAATGGGGTTTGTGGATTGGGTAGCAATGTTATATTGATGTTGGCTTCCTGATTTGGAAGGTTGTACGCCAATTATGTAGGAGAATATCCTTGTTGTTTGAAAATATAGACTGGAGTGTTTAATGGTAATGTGACATTGTTTGTAAAGCTTGCTTTCCAAAGATTAAAAAAAATGATCATATGTGTGTGTACATGTGTGCATATGTGTGTGTGTGTCTGTAGAGAAAGGGTATTGAGCAATGAAGCAAATGCAATGATAAAATGTTTTTGTAAATTGACATGATAATTGTACATATTTATGAATTACAGAGTGATGATTCAATACAGTATTGTATAATGATCAGATCTGGGTAATTAACACATCTATCATCTCAAATATTTATCATTTCTTTGTGTTGGAACATTCAATATCCTCCTCCTAGCTATTTGAAACATATAATACATTATTGTTAACTACAGTCATCCTATAGCACTACAGAACACTAGAGAACTTATTCCTTCTATCTAGCTGTAATCTTATATTCTTTAACAAATATCTCTCTACCCTCCTGTTACCCCTACCTTCCTATCCTTCTCAGCCTCTACCATCCTCTGTTCTACTTTTTACTTGCATAGAATCAACTCTTTTCTAGCTTTTACATATAAGTGAGAGCATATGGTGTTTAACTTTCTGTTCCTGGCTTATTTCACTTAACATAATGTCCTCCAGTTCAATCTATGTTGGCATAAATGACAGAATTTCATGCCTTCTTTGTGGATGAATAGCATTCCATTGAGTATAAATACCACATTTTCTTTATGCATTCATCTGTTGTTAAGACACCTAGGTTGACTCCACATTTTGGCAACTGTGAATACTGCTGCAATAAACATAGGGGTACAGATGTCTTTTGGATATATTGATTTCCTTTCGTCCGGATAAATGTAAAGTAATGGGATTGCTAGATATGGTAGTTCTAATTGTGGTGTTTTAGGAAGCTCCATACTGTTTTCCATAGTGGCTGTATTAACAACTGGGGAATCGGGGTGAGGGCAAATTTCTCTACATTTGAGATTATTTCAAAATGAATTATTAAAAAATAATTTTAGGCTAGACATCATGGCTTATGCCTGTAATCTCAGCACTTTGAGATGCTGAGGTGAGAGGACTGCTTCAGGCTAGGAGTTCAAGAAAACAAGCCAGGACAAGATAGTGAGACTCTGTCTTTACCAAACAAAAAAATTAGCTGGGTATAATGATATGTGCTTGTAGTCCCAGCTACTCAGGAGGCTGAAATGGGAGGATTGCTTGAGCCCTGGAGTTCAAGGTTGCAGTGAACTATGACTGTACCACTGCCCTCCAGCCTGGGTGACAGAGTGAGATCCAGTCTCTAAAAAAAAATAAATAAATGAAAAAAAAAATTTTTAAGGAGAAAAATGGCAGTAGAGAATCAGTATAGAAAACTTTTTCAAGGAGTTTTGTTATAAAAGGGCAAACTGACACAGTGTTTAATCAGCCCCAGCCTTCAAGCTGTCCTAACTGACAGCAAGTAGATCCAAGAGGAGGTATCGCCACAAAACCCAGACCCAAATGTAGATTTGGGAGCTAATAAAATGATACTTGTTCTTTTAAACCATTATGTTTTGGTGTAGGTTGTTTGGCAGCAATAGTTACTGGAACAGAGCCCTCTGGGTTTCTTTTTGTGAGCATTATACAAACATACCTTATTTTATTGCACTATGTTTTACTGGACTTCGTAGAGGCTGTGTGTTTTATAAATTGAAGGTTTGTGGCAACCCTGCACTAAGCAAGTCTTATCAGTGCCATTTTCCCAAGAGCATGTGCTCACTTTGTGTTTCTGTGGCACATTTTGGTAATTCTTGCAATATTTCAAACATTTCATTATTATTATAACTTATGGTGATCTGTGATTACTAATCTTTGATGTTACTATTGTAATTGTCTTACGGCACCATAAACTGCCCCCATATACGACACCACAAGCTCAATTGACAATTGTTGTGGGTGTGTTCTGACTGCTCCACCGACTGACCAGACCATTTCCTCGTATCTCTCCCTCTCTTTGGGCCTCCTTTTCCCTGAGATGCAGCAACACTGAAATAAGACCGATTTGTAACCCTACTATGGTCTCCAAGTGTTCACATCTCTCATTTTAAATAAAAAAAAGTTAGAAATGTCTCTCTGCTGTCTTTCACAGTAAACAAACAAAACAATATTTTTTTAAGCCAAAAAAGAAAAAAAAAAAGAAAAGAAAAAGAAAGCTTAGTGAAGAAAGCATGTTGAAAGCTAAGACAGGCAAAAAGCTAGGCCACTTGTGCCAAACAGCCTCATTGGAAATGCAAGGGAAAAGTTCTTGAAGGAAATGGAAAGTGTTACTCTGAACACACGAATGAATGCTAAGAAAGTGAAACAGCCTTATTGCTGATATGGAAAAAGTTTGAGTGGTCTGGATAGATCAAACCAGCCACAATATTCCCTTAAACTAAAGTTCAATGTGAAGCAAGGCCCTCTCTTCAATTCTGTGAAGGCTGAGAAAAGGAAGCTACAGAAGAAAAGTCTGAAGCTAGCAGAGGTTGGTTCATGAGGTTTAAGCTAAGAAGCCATCTCTATAACATAAAAGTGCAAGGTGAAGCAGCAAGTGCTGATGTATAAACTGCAGCAGGTTATTCAGAAGATCTAGCTAAGTTATTGGGGAAAGTGGCTACACCAAACAACAGTTTTCAATGTGGATGGAACAACCTTCTATTGCAAGACGATGTCATCTAGGACTTTCCTAGCTAGAGAGAAGTCAATGCCTGGCTTCAAAAGCTTCAAAGAACAGGGCAATCATCTTTTTGGGGGCTAATGCAGCTAGTAATTTTGAGTTGAAGCCAATGCTAACTTACCATTCCAAAAACCCTAGGACACCTGTAAGATTTATGCTAAATCTACCCTGCCTGTGCTCTAGAAATGGAACAACAAAGCCTGGATGACAGCACATCTGTTTATACCATGGTTTACTGAATATTTTAAATCTACTATTGAGGCCTACTTCTTAGAAAAAAA